GAAAACACCTGCCCCCTCCCTTTTAGTACACAGACATTTACAAGCTAGAAGTCCTACGATGTCCAGCGACAATGTCTAAGCCCCGTGGGAATAAGTGTGAAGGTGTAGCATACAGACTTTTGATCTGAATTACTGTTGTACTTTTACACACACAGTATTGGCTTCAGCCTACCCTGGCTATTGTCTTCAGGTTCTTCGGTTTTTGTTTGATGTTCCTTGGAAAATATTTGCAGTGCAAAGCAAAAATGTAAAGCTGTGTGCTACCACAACCTTTAATTAACCTGGCAGATCTCTATTGTAATTTCTTGCTGCTTACCGACTTGGACAGGGTGAAGGTAGTCTGGCCTGCACAACGAAGGCTCACGATTTTCACTGGACTCCCTCTCCACTTTAACACAGGATAATGAGTGATGGAATTTGAGTGCACACATCCTGCTGCAAGACCGAAGAGCAGAGCATAGCTGCTTCAAAATCAAATGTAATAAAGACAACACTGTCTCTCATTTCAATTGCCTTGACAAAGAAACACAGGTGGTTTAATTAAAAAAAAACTGTAATTAAATGTCAGAAGAGAGGACAAATGAAGAACCTGGAATACAGGACACAGAAAAATGCAAAGCCTTTTATAGATAGTTTTTCCAGGATCTAACTAATGAACACCTGGCACACTACTTGTAAATGCAAACGATTCAGTTTAAAGGGACTAACTTCCCAAATCTTGCTCTAATTTGTCATTTACTAAACCAATCATCAAATGAAACTTTGGCCTATTTGCTCACTTAACATGATTAAATCCTTGCTGGGTCTGTCCTCGAGACTCATCACTACATGAAGCCAACAGGAACAGAAGGTTTTTGCAGTAGTAGCTTTGGGCTCCTACACCACATCATTCACTTTTTTTGTGCCTTGATTTGTTTAGTAAGGTTGTGTAGTGCACTAACAAAGTGAATGCAATTATCTCGCGAAAGATCACCATTTTCCACCCCCGAAAAAAGAATCTTAACAATACCAGTTAAATATATATACACAGTAACAGGGAAGGGTGCAGGTGAACCATCACTTCTGTCTAGTGTCTTGAGCGTTGACTGGCAAAAAACACATTTTCAAAATCCACACAAGTGTTAATTCTTCAGGTCCTGTATTTCCAAAAATCTCTTCTCCACAAATCATATAGACAGCTGTATTTGAAAAGATCAAGCATAAATGCAGTTCATGCAAAATAACTGGAAGTATACATTTTTACAGCTTGAAAAATCTGGAATAAGAATTACTGGGGCCAGGTACTCAACCTGATCAGAGCTACATACAGTACTTCATCAACGCATGAAATCTCCCTGGAATCTGAATGCTCCATGTAACAAACAAAACATAAAATCTAAAATGAGCAAAAAAGGCAATAAGTAACAAACCTTTTAACATCTGAAGAAACACTGTGCAAACCATCACCCTACCTCTGGGTTTTGAATATTAAAATCTTTTAGTGAAAACGGTTTTCTATTCATCATACTACTACTTGCAAGGATCAGAGCGGGATTTCATAAACAAATACATCTTGCACTTCTTTATCCATCTCTGCCCCAGCATTTTAAAATGTACATTCCATTTCCACTGCATTGAGATCGGTATCGCACACAGATTCCGCACAAGAAAGCCCAGCCGACACAGAGGAAAGTGGCTTCTACGTGACTACTGTACCATTAAATTTTGCTTCTTTAGTCTCCAGGCAAAATGAGCTTCCCCCTATCCAATACAGACCCACAGATGCAAATTTACTAAAAAATCCCGGAGGATTCGTAGCTTTCATTTGGCCCGTGGCCGGAAAAAAAAAGAAAGTTCTTTCTTCTAACAATGTTTTCTTCTCTTGCAGCCCCAATGTATGCTAAACAGGCTCTCCTATTGTGCCCCCCCCCGGATGAAGAATCGAAAAAGACAATGAAGAAAGGAACACGAGAAATAAACGCACACCCAAGTTGCCCTTCTGTTCTGGAAATGCCGGGGGTGGCTGGTGGATGCTGAAAGGATCGGCACCAGGTGATGGAGCCCCATCTGGGACTCCCGATGAACCGAACGCCACACCCGCCCTGCAGGAGGAGGGTGGGTGGGGGGGTCCAGGAGGTCTGAGCACACTGATTGTCCCGTGTCCATGAGCGCAGGCCGAGCCGTGTCACTTTATAAACAAGACGTAGAAGGCCATGGCCACACAGGAGAGCGCCACCGCGATGTGCAGACGCGTCCCGATCACTGCCGCTGGAGGAGGAGAGAAGAAGGCACTGTGAGCTGGCAGTCGGGCGGGGGGTGCAAACTACGAAGACAACGAAGTGTGAAACTAGGTCACAAAGTTACCCTGGGCGGTGGTGTAAAGTAATGGTGCAGGAACTTTAATAATGCAGGGCTATATCAAAATCTATTACATTGTTGGAATGTTGAGTAGTTTTGACTTGCATTCTTATAACTCAACAAAGACTAAGACAGGCTCTGTCAGGTAACAAGTGACCCGACTGTTGTGAAATGTGATCTAACAGAATAAAGTACGTGTTAAACCCCAACAAGAGAACTTGGATCCGGCCGAGGCAGAAAGCTGTAATCTGAAATGGCTGACACTTATTTCTTGGTGTGAGAGCTGTGAGAGGTGTTATGCATCTCAAAACACAATAACAACACACAAAGCAGATTGCTCACAGGCAGTAGTATAAAACATTCATGTCATTTTTTTTTCTTTTTACGAGGCATTCCTAAACATTCTTCCCTGCTATTATTCTGATCCACTCCAGTATCATAGAGCTTTATAACTCATCCTCTTCTGGGGGATACAGGGGAGCACTCTGTAAGTTATCCAGCTCTAACCCAACATGCTCCTTATGTCTCATACCCTAGCTGGCTCCTCAGCAGGGCTCGGAAGACTGTTTGCTGCCTCCATCAGATCATAGGACATATACTTCACACTTTCATCAAGTCCTTTTCTTCAGCAGTCACCCCAATAACACCAATCTAACCCTTTTAGCATTTCTGGGGTTACTGCACTTTTGTGATCACTGTGATCATGGACGTGTAACTGTGCACAGTTTTTAAGCAGATTTCTGTCCTCCAGCCTCTAAGCAACATTAAAACAATTAACCTAGAGGCATTTGGCTAGTCAAAATGCATCAGTACAGCACGTTGTCTGTGAACTTTCTTTCTGTGCACCCCCCCAGTACAACACTGGAGTGCGGTCGAAACTCTGCTGTGACCCACCTTTGTAGAAGACGCCCCAGATGCCTCTCTTCTCCGACAGCAGCCAGTTCTTTAGCCTGGGCACTTTCTTGAAGTACGCACATGTGCAGACGAACAGCAGGCCGAAAACCAGGATGCCATCGAATGAGTACACTGCCCAGACAGAGACAAGACAAACACACTCAGACTGGCGTTGCATTCCAGAAAAGACTGGTCTGCATGTCACCATGATACACCACAACCATCTCACTGACTGTTTAAATTCATTGGAGACAAAGCCTTTGCAAGCTTGTAACACTCTTTTCATTGATCCAACAGTGTTGTACTTCATTCACTGAATGAGCTCTATATTTGACATAACAAAACCTACAGCGTAAAACTCAGACAGGTCAGATTCCACGTAGAGGTTTGTCTGTTGAAATGTGATAAAAAACGGAGGCACTCACTCGATCCAGAGTTTTTCAGAGCAGTTTCCTAGTGAAAATATTAGAATTTCAGGCGATGAGACAGACGCAGCGGGTCGACATCTTAAAGGTTTTAAGAGTTGGGATTGTTTTTATGCAAGATCCGGGCGAGGATCCTGCTTTTCTCGTATGTGACAATTCAATTTAGACGTGAGCCCTAATTCTTATAAGATATAGAAAGCGGCCTAGACAGGACAAATAGGACAATTTAACCTATTAAAGGCAATAGATTGTGTACGCAGAATTTACACTACATAACTTAAACTGCATATAATTTAGTATCAATAACTAAACACACATTTTATACACCTGTACTTTGTATACACAGGGATATACTTTGTATATACACCAATATACTTTGTGTGCAACTACCATTAATACACGTTTTATGATCCTCACCTAAAAACAGCGTGTATCGCGTAAGAACTAAGGAATCTTGCTCGGGGAAATTAAAGGATATTGCTAACCTAAAACATGGACACAAGGTAGCAACAAACGAGACTCTGCATCGTTTTAAAACCCGGAGACTGGATGGATATTGTTCTGAGAAGCATTTGAAAGACAAGAAAAAGTATTTCTGAACTCCGAACACATCGACAAGGCCTGGCGCTTCTGTCACAGGAGCCACGTCCTCAAAATATCCTAAATTACTTCCTGCTTCACAAAAACTGCAAAGCAGCACGTAAACAAAAATTATGTGACTTTGCCTAGCCTTTGACGCGAAAGGGCCGAACCTACCGTTCGTCATGGTGGTCGTGTATTACCGAGACTTCAGATACAATATTCCCGAAGCTGTTCAATTCCCAGCTCTTTCCTATCTCTTCATTTTCCGCCCGCAGTCTCGACCAGTAAACACACAGAGTCAGGAAGGAGCAGCCGAAAGCCGAACTAAATCACCACGCCAGGGAGGAGTAATGTAGGACAGAGAAATTGATTGAGTTCGGATGACGTAATCGTCAAGCCGGCAGTAAAGGACTGATGTTAATTTGCCTCTGTGTGTGTGCTGTTAATATTTACTATTACATATTGTTTGCGTTGTTTTGCATCAATAAATTGTGTTTATTTTTGTTGTAATTAATAGCTGTATTTTATTGATTGTTGAATCCCTGTAAGAGCAAGAATAAGAACAGAAGCACGGTCACACTTTTAATTTTAATTTAAAGAGTATCACTCATATGCAACCTCAGAGCACTCTGTCACAGTTAACCCCCTAGACAAGTAGCAGATGCACCCTGAATGCATTTGTGAGACAAAACATGATGGAAAAAATCTTCATCTGCAACTGCCAGTGTGATGTCACGTGCATGATCTGAGCAAGTTTTAAAATTCAGCATTCAGACACAGAACCTCGAAGTTCTGCAACCCAGTCATGACTTTCTAAGAAGAAAGTTGCACAGAGTAAAGTCTAGACTCTTTGTTTTGACTGCTGGATCACAATGAACATCACAAAATCAAACACCTGAATATCCCAGGCACTTCCTCAGATCAGATAATAACCAATTCAAGTCCCAAATTAATAATCCGCAAAGCATGAATCTTGCATTGTTTTGAAGTGTGATTTAACAGAATAAAGTACACCAAACAAGAAAAGAATGAACTAGGAATTGTGGGCTGTGCTCTTTAAGTCAGGGGAATAAGCAGTCCTGTGATGAATGGTGTAGACTGTCCAGGAGTCCTAGTTATAAAACCCATCTCTCGGAAACCTGGATCTCTGTAAGAACAATCCTAGATAGTACAAGGCTGGAAGGCAGTTGAAGAAAACAAGGTTGCTGCTGGTAGAAGTAGTTGATGACCTGTAGGTGGCGATCTTTTCGCTAGACCTGAATTGTGGGGCTAACCAATATGAGGCCCTTTCCAATCTGCTCCCCTTCAGTATTTTAATGTAATCAGACCTCAAGTGTTAATATTGTAACGCATACGGCCACCATTGAGCGTGTAAGAGCCGGCTTACCAGAGTGGTGATGTCACCGCCCTCCCCTGTGATAGCAGGGCCCACAGCCCCTGGGCTGACGGGAGATCTTCCTTTAGCTCAAGCGGCTGGGTCCCTGTTGAGCTACGCTGGCGGTCGTGAGTTCGAGTCCCCGACGGTGGGGGGCCGACTTAAGCGGCAACGGCAAGGGTGCCCGCCTGAACCCCAGAGTAATAGTACAATATTATTCTATTATGTGTTCAATAAATAAGAATTGGTTATCGCAAAATTTTGAAAAGGAGTGGACTGGAGGGACACCAGACTGAGAACCCCTGTTTGAGGCAGTATCGTTTTTCACATGTACTCCTGAACCATCCAACTTCCTCCTGCGGCAGGCCTAAGAGATCACTACGGCTCTTTTTCAAGAGCAGGGTTGTTAACCACAGTGCCAAAGAAGTGCAACAAATCAGAGCCAAGCAGAGCAGAACCGCAGAGGCCACTATCTCAAATTGGGGCTATGTTAAAACCCTTTACTGGGAAAAAAAAAAAAGTTTATAAAATAATTTATTTAAATTCTGCACTCCACTGCTCTCCTCTCCAAAGCCTTCCTTGTTAATTTCGATAGGCTTCCTGACAAAATAAACCTGATATCCCAGGCGAGTTTCATGCAAGCCTTCCTAGGGAAGTGTATAAATAATAAGCCATTTTGTTGTCCTTTGGTGCTAATTAGAAAGTTTGATAGGGTTGTTTTGTGCTCAGCTCAGCAGGACTGTACATGTTTCTCACCAGTCAGCAACCTGAAACAATTAGTAATTAGCCATAGTTATAACACCTTTGGGCACTAATGAGCAGAAAGGGGAATTCAGAAGTTGACTGTTTAAAGTGACCAACCAGTTGAAGGCCACAGTGGCTTGTCTGAATCGATAAGTGAGATGGAGTAAGAGCAACAATAACACCAGCAACAACAGCAGTGGGGTCAGGTTACATTTAATCTTCAAAAGGTCCCATATGAGGCAAAGCAGAATGACCAAAACAGAGCTGTGCAGACGTCCTGACACGTGTTAGTTTGTAATGGGTAAAAATGATAGAAGACGATCAAAAAAAGGATGATCTAAGCCATTAGCCAGCATCTGACTTTAACCCAGAGCGCCTCAAACTCAATTTCTAGAACTTTCGGGTACTTATTTCAGCAGAGCTCTCATCATTTAGTCGGTCTGACTATTTAATTAGCTGCATATTCGTAAGATTTCTAGCCAGGCACCAAGGTGTTTTATAAGCACCTATAAGTAATGAATTAAAGTTGAGTTTAAACAATCAACTGCCAAATTAAGAAATTAGTCATGTTTATTGCTTAATTGAGTGTTCAGTTGAAGAGTTAATGAATGGTATTGTTTCATTATCCTGGTCACGACCCTTTTCAGAACATCTCTCTGACCTCTCAGCGTTGCCTTTAGCACACATAGAATTGTCCACACCCGCAGGAGGCTCCACAGCCTCTTTACCTTTCCCTTCAGCAGGGAATGAACATTCAGCTGTTCCACAGAACCGAGATATTTGCTAAAACCATTGGATATGTGCTTGCGCCGAAAGAGGCCAAAGTGTTTGGGCAATATACGAAATGGAAAAGCTAAAAAAGAGATAAATGTTCCGATGTGGCGGAGTCTTGGTACTGGACAGACCCTGGTGTGACTCTGGTGGGGGCAACGGGGTGCCCCTCCCTGCCAGGAGCGCCACCGCTGGCCAGGTGTCATATATAAGGCAGTGCAGACACTGACAGAGGAGCAGCTGGCGCAGAGCAGTGTGTGAGCGGTAAGTCTGTGCCGGGCAATGGGAGACGGCTGCATGATATATTCCTGTAGTGTCACCTGCAGGGGTAAATGACTAGTTGGAAAAGGGCAGATAGCTAAATAGATCAATTAATTCAAATACCTGTTTTTTTTACTGTTGTAGAACACATCTTCCATCATCATTATAATGAGTCTTCTTTGCCTTAACTTTGAACATTGTATGACAGAGCAGGGTATTTATCTTGGTTGTGAAATCAGCTTGAGCTAGTGCATGTGAAAACGTTTTTTGACAAACAGAAATGTCTCACCTTTCCCTTTGTTGTCGGATGAAAGCATTTTTTTTTTGCATTTACAGTGGGGAACGCAGCATTGTTCACCTGCCTTGAAGATGTACAGCGCATGGCACATTATTTGTAGTATTTGGTAGCAGTAGCTTTTGGAAGTGACACAGTTTAAGGGTTTGTGAAACTAAGCTTATTTGAGTGCCTATGGGGTATCGCGGATTTCGACATAGTTCTAGAATTAAAGAGGATAAGTAACTTCTTTTGCTTTGCTGTCAGAACAGAGCTTGTCCATTGGCTTTGCTGCATTTTAAAATACTTTTGTTTAATTTGTTTAGATCTGTGGCAACGCTATCTCACTACTGTGTATAATTTTATAATATCTTGACTGTCATTGGGTGCAGGAGGTAATGTCTACAATAAAGCTGACACTGCGGTGTTTTACAGGTGTTAGGTAGAACAGAATGAATTGTCTCTTCACTTGTTCTCTGCCTTGCAGGGCTGAACAGTGAGACCACAAGAGGGAAGCACACCACCGTTAGTGAGGACTGAGATTATTGGCGAGCTCCAACCTAAAAGGTAGGCAGGCTTAAAATAGCCTTTAATAACTTTAAGGTACCCCAATTTACTACTGTGCCTTGTTTCCCAGATGGAGAATGTCACATTCACCCCCGGGCTGCTCCAGACTCTGCAGGTATCGAACAGCACGCCCGGCCCCAGCTTGACCAGATCCTATGTGGTCGTGAGTCAGGTGGTGAGGGCCACTTGGTACGTTGTCATTTTCGTGCTGGGGGTGGCCAGCAACCTGCTGCTCCTGCTGGCTCTGCTGCACAGCCTGCGCGAGGGAGGCGCCAGCCCCCTGCACAGCATGACCAGCTTGCTCATCCTCAACAGCGTCCTGGCCGACACCATCTTTGTGCTCTACAACGTGCCTCTCAGCTTTGCCCAGAGCATCTGGTGGGACCCGCGGTTCATTACGGCCGCCTGCATCTCCAGCCAACCCGTCACCAGCCTGGTGATCTTTGTCAGCTTCTACAGCATGGTGGCCAACTGCGTGTTCCGCTTCTTGGGCGTGGCGCACCCCACGAGCTCCCGGGGGCTCCGCAGGTGGCACATGGGCCTCAGTTTAGGGGTCGTCTGGCTGGCCAGCATCCTGACCTCCCTGCCTGTGTGCTTCTATATCCGCGTGGCGGATGTGAACGGGACGATAAGCTGCGTGCAGGTCATGACCAAGGCTCAGGCCATTCTCTACACCATTCTCCTGGGAGCTGTGGCTTTCTGCCCCGCTGTCCTGCTCATGGTGGCCCTGTACAGCAAGATGATCCACATCCTCTGGAGCCGGAAGGGCGGGGGTGGAAACGTGCGGCAGAACAAGAGGGCCACGGTGATGATCCTCACCGCGCTGCTGGCCTTCATCGTCATGTGGATCCCCTTCTGGGTGCTCATTTTCGTGGTGGCGGCGGCCCAAGAGCTGCAGAGCTCCCCCACCCTGATCTTCGCCTTGGGGGTGCTCGCGCTGCTGGCTTCCTCCAACTGCTTCGTTAACCCCCTCATCTACCTCATCCTGTCTCCGCACTACAGGAGGAGGCTGGCGCGCATGTTCGGCTGCGGGCGGCTCGCAGACAGACTGGGCGCCACCACGCAGCTGGAGACAAACCCCGACACCGGGGCTACCACCTGACAGCTGCCCACGTGCCTCCCACTGTCGCGCCCCTCGTTCTCACTTCTGTGTCTTGCACCTTTGTCTCACTGCTGAATTACTTACAGTAAATACGTAACACACTTTCACAAAACCTCTCAGTTTGAGCTTAATTCTCACGTTCGGCAGCTGTTTTTAGCCATTCATGAAACAGGCCTGGGTGGCACGGTGGCACAGTGGTCAGTGCTGCTGCTTTGTAGTCCTGGGGTGACATCCATGTGGCGTTTATGTTCTCCTTGTGTTTGGGTGGTTTTCCTCCCGCAGACCAAAGGCATACTGGTTGGCTAGTTAGCATTTGGGAAAACTGACCCTGGTGCGAGTGTGTGTTTTTTTGTGTGATTGTGTCTGTGTGTGCCCTGTGATGGACTGGCATCCCATCCAGGGTGTAGCCAGCCTTGTGCCAGTTGCTTGCCGACAGACTCTGGCTCCCCCGTGACCCGATATTGGATGAAGTGGTTACAAAATGGATGATACGGGCCTCAGATATGGACTTACTCAGTCAAAGACACAAAAAGCAAATCATAGAAAGAATGAAAGGAATCTAACAGCCGTGTGGAGCCTAGTTTTGTGACAGCAGGTTACCCGTCTTTGAAACGATTCGCCTTACTCTGCTTCTAGTTTTGTACAAATCAAGGGCCGACCAGATATTCTGAGCATCAAGCAGACACACGCAGGGCTAACAGTGGATTTTCCTGGTGAGATTGTGAGATCTTCTTGGGGTGTTAAACAGTAAGGTGACACCAAGCTGGTAAGGCCAGATTAAAGTACTGTTTTTCAACTGTTTTCTGCCGCCTATTTTTCAAATTAGTTTAAAAGGGCACATGTTTAATCAATATCATGTTTAAATGAAAAAAGGTGGAAAAATAAACTGAATGAAAAGGTAGAGTTGTAATTTATTATTTTTTAGTTTTTTTTGTCCTAAGGGTGGTGGCATATAATTATTATAATTAATTAATAATTATAATAATTATTAAACACTTTACTACTTAAGCTAGGGTATTGACTGGACATTTGTAGGCTAGATGGGTTAGCTGTCTCTCAAGTGCCAGAGTAGTATTGTGCAAACTAGTTTTCATTACAGCTAAGACCAGAGTTAATGAATTGGATGCCTATTAAACATTATCTGTTGTTGGAGAATTGCTTATCTCTGGTAAGTATCATGGCAACCCAGTGCCAGTTCCAGAAACATGAGGCACAAAGCAGGACAACCCCCTGCACAGGACACCAGTCCATCAAGGGCCATGTGCACATACACATAGACAAGCACAAGAGCTACAATACAGAGAACAGCATACCTTTGGAAGGAAAGCGAAAACTGGAGCAACCAGCAAAACTCAGAACATGCAAACTCCACACAGATGACTTCCCAGTTCAGAATCAACCCTACTGTCGGTCCCAAAGGATGTGATGCAATAGTGTGAACTGTAAAACTAGAAGTCACACTGGTATATTAATATGAGACCCAAAGCCTCCTGGTCTAAACTGTTGTTTATTAAATGATTTCTGATGACTTTATTTATGAAATATCTGTAAATAGTTTATTTGAATTACTTTTCAAATAAATATGTCTCCTAGAAAAGAAAGAGGCCACTCAGCAGCTTCACATTGACACCTGCTGTCATCTCCACCAGGAAACAAAATATTGAAGAAATCCGGTAACTTCCCTAACCAATGGGCTTTGTTTGTGGGAGTTTAAAACATGTATAGATAATTTAAGATTATGAATGAGAGGAGACCATTTGGTAGCTGATAGTCAATTGATCCAAGAATGTCACTCAGTTGTTTTTTGAAAGAAGCCTGGGTATCAGCTTCAACAACATGACCGGGCAGCTTGTTCCACACTCCCACCATCCTTTGGGTAAAGATGTTCTTCCCGTCCTAGGGTTCAAGTGCATTTCCACAAAGTTTCCATTTGTATCCTCTGGTTCTGCGTTTCACTTTTTATTCCAAAGAGGTCCACTGACTTTATTTTGTCAATCCCTTTGCGAATGTTGAATCTCCTTATACTCACAATATATACTGCAACTCCTTTTAAAAGATGGCTTTTCATTTGACACACAATTTCTTAAATGAATGCAAAGGACAGAATGGCTTTGGTGTCCACTGATCACTGTGCTGACACATCTCACATTTCCCAGGAAACATAACCACATCTTCACTTGAGACATTCTCTCAAGTCTCCATTTCCAGCTCTGTCATGCCCAGGACTTAAACACCCAAGCTGCCACAAAAACCAAGAGTCAAAAAACTCATGACAACTGGATTATAAAATATGAAAAATATTTTATTACAAAAATCACAAGGAATTATAGAAGAAATGCCATGTAATGCTGTTCAGTACAAAAATGCTTGTCTGTTACAATTACTGCAATACCGTGGAGAATTAATCTCACAAGCACACTAATACTTCTCAAAATCATTCTCTCAAATTCAACAAACCCTTGGTTTCTTAAGCAGACCGAAAGAACATAAATAGTATAGCTTGTCAATGTTCCCCTGTAACAGTCGATGTGTGTCAAGTGAGGTCTCCAGAACAATTTACTATTGAAAAGTAACAAGATTTCATGTCACGGTTGATGAGACAATGTGTCTCACTGTAAAATTGAAATAATAGTTCCCTTTCAGAATTCACTAAAATGTCCAACAGCCATTGTTTCCAGAGTCAACTGTTCCAGTGCTACAGCTTAAAAAAACCTTTTCAGAAACAATGAAGCGCAGATTGAAACACATCAAAGCATTTGTGCCTGTTTCTAACACTTTTCACCTTTGGATCAGCCTGCATTTATAAAGACGTTTTGCCAATTACCCATATTTTTACTTGACAAACTGCATCATTTTCTAGCCACCAGGCCTTGGGCACATAATAGTACCCTTTTCGTATGAAATACTTCAATAATATTTCACATCCCAACCTAATTCATTAGGACTGTGTCTAACTACAAGGCCAATCCTACAATCTGCAGGATTATAATGGTGCTTGATAATAAAATGGAAGGCAGGCTTCTAGGATGAAGAAAAAGTCTCCAGCAGTCTGAAAAGGCAGTGGGCTCACATCAAAAACATGTGTGTGCTGGACAGTGTTTGTATTTTGACAAACCAAGGCAGTGCAGCTGCCCATGCTATTGATTACCAGCAGTAAATCCAGCAGAAGCACACTGTTTCTGCTATTTAATTAGGTTACAGAACCATTTTATTCATTTTAAACAATTGAACTAAACTTTTTTTGCTGATCTAAGGCAGTTTACAAAAGACAGAAACCTAGAAAACACAATAGGCACCGAGCTCTTGAGATAACGATCACTGATCTACAGTATATTGTTTCCAATTACATCAACATCATAACTGAGTACTTCTGTTTGTCTTGGGCAATAAAATAATCCTTAGAATGGAATAGAAAAATAACCTTTTCTCATTACAGAAGGATGATCAAACAGACAGCATGAGTTAGGGTTTTGAATAAAGAGTTGGATTAGCCACTCAGCCAGTCAGTGGCAATCTCTCCACCTGGGCTGCAGAAATGAATCTATAGCCTGGGACTGCATGTTCAAATCCAGACAGATGTAATAGACATACAGCTGTTTGACTGTTTTCTTTGAGTAATGTATTAGTGTACAAAGGAACTTTACAAAGACGTTGCCTGAGGTGCAGTAAGACCCATATGAAGCCTGGATTGACTCACCTCCTGGGAATCCTTCAACTTCAAATAATTTCAATGGTGCACATGCACCCAAATACAAACACAATTATTTGAGAAAGGTTACCTGCCAAACTCATTCCATTGCTTGTAGCCTTCTGATCCAGGAATCTCATCCATATATTTTTTAATTATTCTTTGAATCTGGGTTCCCCCTGGTTTGCCGGGACCTATATTTCACTTTTACATGTATCCTAGGAGACCTCTAATTTGGTTGAAGTTTGAAGCTGTGCATAGTGTTGACTTTTCAGGGTAATGGATTCAAGACCTCCCCAAATCCTCCGTTTCCTGTAATCTGCAAATGCTTCACCCTAACTCCTTAGATTAGGGACCCATTGGGGATAGATTCCCTAGATCTGGTGAAATCAATGCCCAGATCACACCCAAGAAGCCACCGAGGTCATCTAAAATCCATACAGAGATCCACCAGGCTGTCTCCTACCGGAGACTGAGCATGAAGCTGTGCCTCTTTATTTTACCACAATATGGGTAGTACAAACTCTTCTAGTGTCCAGGGGGTCTGATACAAGTATTCTAAATCCTCAAAGGTGCTGCCAAAATCAACCCAGAGGACTTCTTCAGAATAAACAATGAAACAAGACCAGGAGCACAAAGATGTGGAAGTGCATTTAAAACTAAAAACAAGAGCCTTCTTTACACAAAGGGTGGTGGGATGATGCAACAAGCTACCCAGCCGCGTTGAAGGTGATTCCCTGCCTTCTTTCAAGACACAGCTGAATGAAGTCTTTGGATCAAGTAGCTAAGGACTACCAAGAGATGTAGTCAGGTACAATGGCCTCCTCTCCTTTGTAACCTTGCTCAAATACTACCGTTCGTTGCATTAGAAACCCACAACTCAAGAACAGTGCGTTGATGACAGGGATGGCAGACTCCTGATTTAGGTCACTGACTGTTGGAGGTAAACCCATTCGACAGGCCAACGAATGTCCTTGACAATAACAGCATGTACTTATCACACAACTACACTGGTCCTGCACTTGTTGTCAGTCAGGGTCAGTTAGTACTCCCCCTCCAGTGTACAGATTCCAGTGAGCTCAGAATCAGAATGGGGCAAAATTCATATACAATTTCAAATATTGCCTTTTAAAACCCACCTTTAAGCAAAGGAGAAGATTCACATAAACTAAACAACACTATCAAAAATCTTTAGGCGCTTGTTACAGTAAGTTCACAGCAGGTATTAATATATACTTATAAAGGAATAGCTATAAATAGATCTATTTTTTTGCCATATTTTTATAGAAAACTGTTATAAAAAACATCAAGG